CAGCAATCACTCATCAGCGAGATCTTTATCGATAGAACTCGCTGAGAGACAATCGAAACGAAGGACCCCCATGGTCTGGTGGTGAACGCGTTACTCCTCAGAAAGGACAATAGCGCGTTCGTACCCCACCGTAGACAGCTGCGGTCCGGAGTTTTGAAAATATCTCAGCATTGTAGAAGTTAAATTTTTGCAGTCTTTTTGGTAGTATTCAAAATAGGGTTGATAATCCACCAAGGAAATCTAGGGTCACTGTACTTAGAGGCATGACCATACCTGAGAAGGAGCACTCCCTACTAGTGTTGGGTCCAGGTTTTTCACAATCACAATCCATTGCTATGCTAACCATGCCTTGGATCGCTTGCAATTTGTATGAACGTCAAGATCAACTTTACTATCAGGCCAAAAAAGAAACATCGAATGGGAATGAAAATCAAGAAGTGGCGCCATTACCAGCATCTCCTTTTCATAGAGGGTTCTTTGAACAACAGGTCACTAACGTCAAAGTCGATGCAGAATTTCGCACGTTTTCGGACAATGTTATCGAAGCCCTTATCCACTATCGCGATAGAAAGTATATATCTAACGTTACATCCGTACAAGAATGTAGTGTGCGAGAAATTAGCAAATTAATAAATTCAAATGCTACTGGACTATCATTTAGTGATAAAGGACGAGAGTATGTAGTTATTCGCCCCCAGTTAGATGTTGAAATAACGGAGGAACATCTTAGTGATGCTACCCTCAATCTTCCCTCTTCCTAAAAAACACAAAAGTCTACCGAAAATTTAACAATTAATGGGTAAAAGGCAAAGGCGGCTGGTTCAAAACCGTCGGTTATTTCGCACTATAAAGTGGAGAAAGCAACATAAGTTAGTATCAGCTGATGATCCTTGTCAACCAATTCATCATCCTTCAAGATTAGACCTTTATCACCTTTATAGACGGGTCAGTGGACTTAGGGTCATTTTGGCAGAATTGGATGAGGTGAGCGCACTAAGATGTTACACTGGCGAAATCTCTGAAATGATTCCAAGATGCTCGTTTTTTCTTCGGCTACTGGATATTCCGGATTATTCTCTTAGAATTTCCTGTATGATGCTACGCCTCGAGTTTCATCGAACTATGGTAGAAGTCATTTCTGATATTCATCTTCTCAAAGAGCGAACTAGAGAACTACGAGGTTCGAATGCTCTTCGTCGCCTTCTGCTGCTTATTGTGAACGTCGGCAACTACCTTTACAGAACATTTACACATGGTTGCGCTGCTGGCTTCAAGTTGAGCATATTGTGAAAGGTGGTCGACCATCGAGCCACCAAAGACACTTCGCCGTTCCTTCACTTTCTTACTGAAACGAATTCGATTTTTTCAAACCGACCGTCATTTAACCTCGATAGTGAAATAATCAACACGCTTTTAAATTGTTGAGCTTACACGAAGCTGATAAATATGTTTATTTCGGCTAACGCTTCGACGTCTTCGTCTTCATCAGAGCCACGGATCACCATTCGGGGACCACCGACGAGGATCATTGATTCAACAGTTTAAAAACATGTTGAATTCGACTTTGTTCAACGAATTGGGGCACAAGCTTTCTAGTATGAATTCAGATTCAGAGAATTCAGCAGAAGAGCTTTCGCTCGCTTGGAGAGAAATGCAACAATCTCGGCAAAGAGTTGAAGAAAAGACAAGGCATTGAGCTCAAGGAAATTAGACAATATCTTAAGGATCCGAAATGAGGAGGAATATCCGAAAGAAAACTGGTTCTCATTTCTTGACATTCAAATTAACTTATCAGATAGCGGTAACATGATAAAATGGTGGCGAAAATCAGGTACCAAGAACAACCTTGTCCATTCTCTTTCTTCCCACCCTTCACACACAAAGCGGGCGATTGTGAGAAACACGTATCGAACCTCCACCTCTGTGTGCACGAAGAGGGAACTAAGGGAGGTATCACACGACTTGTCTCGGCAAATAGCTATCTCCAATGGCTACGAATTAGTAACCCCACAAGATAAATTTATGAGGAGAGTGACGTTCCAAAACGAACGATTTGGCTAAAAGAAAATCCCGTGTATGTTGCCTTTTATTAGTGATGTAGTAAGTTTGGCTATAAAACGGTGCTTAAGAAAGGCAGACCTAGAGTAATCGGTAGCAATATAGCCATAATTGAAATATCAACCAATAATCTTTGTCGTCAGTTAGTTCGTAACCGTCCGTATGACCGTCTATGTGAAACACAAAGTTGCGTAATCTGCCCTTCCGGCAGGCACGGTGGCTGCATGAGTTCAGGTACGATATACCTGATCTCTTGTAATAATTGCGGAGATGAATATATTGGCGAAACGGGGAGACCTTTATGTATTCGTATAAAAGAACACCTAGATGGCAAACGAAAAGCAAGGCAAAGTAAACCGCTAGGGACGCATAGGATACAAAAGCACAGCGGAAACGATTTTAATGTAAAAGTCAATATCCTTGCATATGATGCCAAAACATCAGCGTGAAAACTTATTGAAGCTCTTTGGATAGTTGCCAAGAATCCGAGAATGAACAGCAGGGAGAGTCCCAGATATCACACATGACCTAATCCCGTATCTTAGAATTGATTTTTGATGTGGGGTGGTGCTTTCATTAGCCATATAAGACTCTAAGCGACTATTCTTCCTCAGTAGAAAGCACGTAAAAAACCGTGGGCTTATCAGAAAGATGTTGATCCCGCGATTGCCATTCAGATTTTCACCTTTCTGTGTTACTGAAGTGCTTAGCGTAGTAAATAAATTGCAAATTAATATGAACTTGCGGGGATCCGAAGATACACATTAGTGTACCCTTCCAGGTTCTGAAGAAGGCGATACTGCCGACACATTAGCTACTGTTGTGTTGTATGTGTTTTTGTCTGGAAGTAAACTTGTGCTGTATAGCTACCTCGCGATTGCTGAAAAAGAAAACGACACTTTTGTAGTTGAACAATTAGTTGTCAAGGTTGCTAGCTCTATTTGACTGCTCGCCTTTGTATGAATGGGCCATGTGGGACTTTTTGTACGTTTTCGCAGAACGCAATCTGAAGCCTATGTTATAACCGTTTATAGCAAAAATGGCAGTACAATAACAACGATGTGACGATATAGCAAAGGGTAATTAATACAGGTGCCAAGACTAAGACGGAGACTGTAAGAGCCTCTAGCTAACTGAAGAATCTGCTTATATCTGTTTTGTAGTGGGTGGAGTTTAGCTAGGGTAGGTCAAGAGAGAATGTCTGGGGAAGAAATGGTAGATTTTTTTCGGTCCTACAATTTGACGAGGCTGATTCAAAGCACGACGCGATAGCCGTGAATGCTTACATTAGATAAACGGCATACCGGATGCTTTCAAAGGTTTATCAAATCTTTATAAGAGTTTTACAGACAGCTTTTCCCTTAGAAGATGACTAAGCAGTGCGAGACAAGTGCATGTAGAGATAGAGACATTCGATATTTAAGGAGAATATTCATTATGTGTGAGTAGTCCCCCATTCTACACAGCCGCAGTGTTATGCGTCATTTCCCTGTTCATTGTGGAGAGATTGTGTGATCTGAGTGAGCGCTCGGAGTGTGTTTGAAGGCATTAATGCAAGCGTAGAGAATTGCAACATATTGGAACGTACTGGCTAGTCTTTCTTCTACGGTGAGCAAATATTTTTCGAATTAGAATGTTAACTTTTTATATACTGCCTAGTACAATTCTTCACGGCATAGTATTATGTGTGACTCAACCACAATGACGCTAAGATATTTGCAAAGCTCCAGGCCGCAGCTGTCTGCGGTAGGGAACGAACGCGCTATTACCCTTTTCGGCGGCTAAAGCATTCACCACCACGCGATGCGGGTTCTTCGCTTTACCTCTCTATCAGCTAGTTCCATCGATCAGTCTCATCAGCAATCGTCCGTCAACGGGATTGATCTGGGAATCCCAAGTAGGCAATGAAGAATGAACGGTAATATTTTCCAAATTCTTCCTCAATGTTTAGTAGCGGTCAGTAAACTTGTTCAAGTTTCGTTGCACACTTGTGCAATGCATGTTCAAGGTTTGACGTAATTTTCTCGAGGTCGCATACTCCTTAAGGTGCCGTAGACTTTATTGTACGAGAGATGTTCTTCACCACTGCGGATGCGATGTTGCGCATTTCTAACTGCTCCACTTTGATCCTTGTTTTGCCAGTTATTCAGTACATTTCGAGAATCGCCTGCGAATAACAATTGCTAGTTGGGATGGTATGATGGAGTCTTAATAATTTCTCTAAAATGCGCAACAGAGCTGACCTGGATTCTTTGTCGGATGGGTGCAATAGAATGATAATGAATGCTTGTATCGTCGCATTATTTTCATCACGAAATACTGAAGTTACCGAGGATTTAGTCAGTTCTTGTAAAGTGTCCCCTTTAATTTATGTTATTCGTTTCTGTTTTTATCAAAATGTGTTTTACTGCAACTGCTGTTTTGACAACTTTTATTCTTGAAAGAACTTGTTTTATTTATCGAGCACGCAGATGAAAGATTTCGCTTGGCATACAGCTGAAAAGATACGTTTAGTGAAACTGTCAGATGTTTGCTAATGATTACCTATTTGCCTATTACATTGTTCAGTTACATGGAGTAATAAAACTGATATGATACCAACAGCAGTGCCATGGGTAGCGCTAAATATATTATGTAGAAGTCGAATATTGGGATAAGTAATCCCGAGACTAGAGATAATCACGAATCAGACATTTATAATGTACATGAAGAAGACATTGGAGTCAATACATATAGCTGCAGGCATGTCCACAGGGGCACATGGATAGCTTGGCTATAGAAGCAACTAATAGACGAAGCTCATAATGAGCACCACCTTATTGAATACTCTGTAAAATAAAAATACAATTATTCAGAAGGATGGGATGCCATGCGCAATAAAACGTCATGGCAATAGATGCTGGAAATTGATAGGTCTATAGACATGGATGGTGGGAAAGTAGTTATGGATGGTCTCGAAATTTTTTATAAAAACACTGGACGTAGGTGAATACGCATTTCCAATCGGGCCGATCACCCATCATAATCATATCGTCGACTTCCAGAAGTGGACAAATTCCATGCTCCCTGAAATAGTTCGGCAATCAGATGGTCCCTTTCGTGAAACCGATGGAGACAGTAATATAATTCTATGCTTATCAGAATAGGGAGATGCGGTGACGGACTATATATTTATTTACTGGGCCTTCAACCAGCGGCTACTGCAGTTATAACTCTGTGTGTTTCCGCTTTCTCAAGGATTTCTACTGATTGTTGTGCAAACCAAAATGTTTTCAATAGTATTCGGAAATTTTTGTCCGTACTGAATCATTAGTGCTTCTCCACTATTGGGTTGGGGGAACTGCAGGGAGATCTTTGCTAGTTTCACTGCCCTTAAACTACTTAACGAATTGTTGTTGTTGTTGTTGTTGTTGACCATAATTGTTCTTGAAATAATCTTTGACTTTAACCCGCTCATGGCCTATTTTTCAAGAATTTCTTTAAAGCTTGTAATGCCTAAGAAAAGTTGTAAGATCTACCAGACGTGGAGAACTTGCAGAAGAAATTCTGCTCTATCACTCTAACGATGGCACCATGTAATCCCATGCACTACGACGTGGCCGTAAAATGTCTCTAATGTTCTTGCCGCACTTCGGATCTACTCAGTAGTTTCAAACGGCCTTAGGAAAACGAAAAGACCAATGTTTTGGTATAAAGTCCTTTATTTTTTACTGTCGATTGAAAGATAATAAAAGTTAAAAGGTAAAGCTCTCGGAGTTGATCAGTCCATGAGGCATCATGCAATCGACTTCATTGAGCATCGTTTGGAGGTGATTGAACGCATATCTGGCCTTTATAATGATTCGCAGTGGCCTGCCGATGTATCAAGCCAGTGCTGCTATCCTACCAGACAAGTCTGGTACCAATTTGCCGACCCCGGAGGGATGGAAGGTTTGATGAGCCTGTGGCCGTGGATCGATCCCATAGGTATTGCAAGGCGCCTCTGATCACTGCGATACATGCGCCGCTTGAAAGAATATAACCACAAGTATTCACCAAGTTTGATAGTAGAATAAGTTTGTAATTGGCTAAGTTTCTGAATGAAATTGTCGAGCTCCTCACCGTGGATGACCCAGTTGATGAGTTGTACTACAACGCACATGCAATTCTATAGGCGCCGACACCACCCAGTCATAATGAGACGGTAAAGCACTGGGGCGGAATTTGTATACTTATTTATTTGGTGTTCTGAGATATTTTGATGTTAAATGTTATTCGATAGCTAATTCGTTCTTCTGCAAAACCTTTATTTCATTCTTTATGTGAGTACGATTGTTAAAGGAGAGGTAGACATTCACCACTGTACATACTTATCAATAATGGGCACTCTTAGAGCGTCAGATTCATATTGTTATTAGCGGCACAAACTTGTTATGACACCAAATAAACTCCAAATTTTGCTACAAATTCATCTTATCGAGTAAACGAGTTAGGTGGTCACTTTAGCACCAGTCTTTGGTGTGGGTGGTGCGGTGCTAGCGATGCTGTTCATCACAAGCACAGAGTTGCTTCGCCCTCGAATCGGGCTCACGAAGCTTATCTTCTCTCCGGCATCACTAAATTGGTACCAGATTTGTCTGGGAGGAGGCCACTTCATGCAATCTAAGCGGGAAAGCTCCAGATTGGCTATCCTAAGGTTGACTCCAGGGAGAATCGATTCGATTAGTAAAATTTACAAAGAAGACGACGATCTTCAAGTAGCAACGGCAACCGACATTCGAAAAGTTCGAAGACGTTCGTAGATGGTGAGCGCGAGGAAACGAATCGAATGCAAGTAGTGCTGGGATCCACACTTGTTGTGAATGTGGGTCGTGTGAAATTAAAAAAAAACTTTTCAGACTTCATAGACTTAGGACTATTAGAACTTCAACAGAAACAGTTATTTTCTGAAGGCAAATCTTCAATTTACTTTTATACTTGATACTTGATACTTGAACGGCCCGTCCTCACCAGTGGTGCGGGCGCCAGTATAATCACCATTTTTCGGAGATTTGCTGGTTAAACCATTGTGGTTCCTCGGAATCCCGAGGACAGCCTGTCCAAAGTCTGCCGCAGGTCTTCACCACCACGGGCAGTTACAACCTTTGTGGATCAGAGGGAGATTTACCATCATGCGACATTGATACCAGGACGGTGGTGGATCCTGGTATTGGTTTACTTTTAGCTAGGTTTCCTGATGGAAACGCCGGACACCCTCTCACCTTGGGAGACCCTGCCAAGGGATGAATCCTCCGCTGTACATCGCAGTCCGACACCCAGGAACACCCCCCAGCCACGATGAGGTGGTAAACCGTTGGGAGAGTTTACTAAATATACAAGTTCAATCTATCCAGTGGTTTCACTGCCTTGTTGGTGGTCCTAATTGTTGAACTGCGATGTACAGCGTGGGTTCACTTCCTTCCACGGTTAACCATACGGAAAATATGCGTGCTGAAGCAAACCTCGTTAAAGTAACCGTGATCAACTTCTTGGAAAAACTTTGTAAAAGAATTGCAATGTGATGCTTTCCACGTGTAACGCAAAAGAGCGAAACCTAATGAGGTAGAACTGGTGTGCAACGGAGGACCAACGAACCCGTGGGTAACCCGCTGGAATTTCTCAATGATTAAAGGGACAACAGGTGATACAGGCGGTACAAGGTCAGAAGTAAAATAGTCTCATTCGAAATGTTTGAATGTCTATATAAACGTACTCGGCAACTCGAAACGCCAGTTCGAAATTCTCTCGTCTATTCTTCGGATCTAATTTCTCGAATTCAAACGAATCCGGTGCGAATCGATGTATTAGAGCGCAAAATGCCATTCCATTGGCCCATGATGATGAGAAGTTCGTGATAGAGATGTTCTAAAGTATACGACAACGATTAATATATTGACCTCGGGATTGTTCTAGAAATAATTCTTAATTCCCAATGCACCAGCACTACCAAATATTACTCTCACTGAACTCCGAAGTTGGAACTATGATTTTGTGCGCGAACACCAGTGTGGCCGACTTATTTGGAAAACATTTGCCGTTTTAGAACATTAAAGGAGATCATCTGTCGATAAGAAGGAATTCACAATGGAATATTGGATTTAGTGTCATCTTGTTTAGAGTTATAACACAGTTATTACATCCAACTACCCGAATGTTAAGATACGGAATCGTTGAAGACCCACCGGATATTCCTGCAAACGGTTCTGAACCCAACGCAATAACGCGTCTTTGACTGAGTTCGGATTTAAGGTTCGCGGTGAAGCTGTCGAGCTATTCACTTTTTCCATTTGCTTGAAAATATTCGTACGAGCTGACATTCTGGACTGTTCTAAAAACGGTATACTGTACTCATCTGCATACATGGAAACACAGTTTATAGCTACTACAAGTTTTCAGCGTAAGTAGAACAAAATAACAAACGTTCCAGAGATTAGCATTTCTTAAATGTTATTCATATGGAAATAAAGATTTTTTAAGAATCAAGCGCTCGAACTGATTGAAATTGCAGATATAGGAAAATCCGAAAATCCCATCCAAAAATATGGAATAAGCAAACTCCCGTTGAATATTCGAATGAGTGCAGCAACCAGATCCTATATGAATGGAAATATTACTATACGATATGAATAATTTCCAAATAACTACACCGATGTACATCAAACTGGTAATGTTTAGTTCTCCATAATGACAGGTGTACAATTTCATTCAACCACCGTATCCGAAGTCCCAGCAGATAATGTTTTATAATGCTCTTCTACAAAAAACTATTGTAACATTGGCTGCCAGTGGCATAGGACGGAAAATGGTGACACTTCCAACCAGATGCAGAAATAAAAGTGTTTGACAGAACAGATGTGAACGGTAGAACTAAAGTACGCTGAGTTAAAGTATGCTGCCATGTCATTGATTTTAATGCTATTGCCTGAGATCTTGCCTATAAATCCAGGAAAAGTTTTTGCGTAATATTTTAAAACACATTGGTGGTAAAAAGGCATACTCATAGGGTTGTTCCGCAAAAGGAAGACTCTTAACGATGACTAATAAGCAAGGAGAAATTTTGGGAGATCCTGTTTCCGAAAAGTTACTAAAGGATTTTTCCCAGGATTTCTGTTAATACTCTATGGATTTTCTCCATAATATCGGGCTTTCGCGTGTGGCGCAGTGGTCGGAGGCGCCCTACAACACACACGTGGAATCGATTTCGGTACCCATGGGTCACCAAACCTTCCATCCATTCGGGGTCGGCAAATTGTACCAGACTTGTCTGGGAGGATAGTATCACTGGCTCGATACATCGGTAGGCCACCGCGAGTCTTTGTATGGACCAGATATGCATCCAGTCACCTCCAAACGATGCTTAGTGAGGTCGAATGCATGGTGCATCCCTCAGGGATTGGTCAACACCGAGAGCTTTATTTTTATCCGTTTATTGGGCTTTCTACAGTTGGTACCGTAACCTTATCTATCTCCCGTACAATAGTTGTCAGATGAGATCTAAAAAGCAGTTGTTTTTGTTTTTGTTTCAATCCATGATTTTTGCTGCTATTTTAAGCAAACGCTTTCCAGGATTCCGGTATTCGCTCTAGCATTCGGACATATTCGAGATTAATGACATTGTGTGATTTCCTGTTAAAGCCTCTTGGTATTTTTCGGTGACAATCCACATCAGTAAAGCCCTCGACTATATAAAAATGTTATTGTTTAACATATTTCGTTAAAAGCAATCTGGATATGATATTCCACAGGAGAGTGTATTATCAGTTCAAAACAGAAACAAGATATAATCACTTTATTTACTGCCTATCTTTTTTCCATGGCAGGGTATGATCTGAAATATAACCACAATAATGCTGAGATAACCACAACGTTGCTGAGATATTTGCAAAACTCTGGACCGCAGGTGTCTATGGTGGGGATGGAATCCTGCTATTACCCTTTCCAAGAGCTAAGGCGTTCACCACCAACCGCACCATGCGTGTTTTTCATTTTGCCCCTCTCAACCGTGTTATCAGCAATCATCCGCCAAAAAGCAACTGATATCCAAAAGATGGACATGCCGAGTCCTGTATTTGCGATCTACCGCGATATAGTGCTTGGCGTCAAATGCGAAACTATCAGTAAAAAGACCACGATTTTAACACATTCCACCCCATAAAGACACTGTAATGTCCATGGGGACCTGGACCGAACGATCACGTGATGGCAAATCTCGCTCTGATCCACAAGGGCGGCGATTGCCTGTGGCGATGATGAATTGCGTGTGGTCCGTTGGGCGAGCCACGAACTACGGTTTTCGGGGCGGAATGGGATAACAAATGTCAAAATAGGACTGGATGAAATCTGTCCGTTAGTCCAAAAAAAAGAAGAAATAGTATAAAACAGGTTCGAAACACTGAAACACTCAACTTAGTCTCGATTGAGAGATACGTATCAAATTCGATTCGATTCGATTCGATTTTTTCTAGAAATTCAAGAACAATCATTCACAAAGTTGTTTTAGGTTATCATAAGGCTTTTCTTACTCAGCGTAAATATAAATATAAGAAGTACTCCACGAAATCTTCCCAAAGGTTTGTTGAGAATTTGTGTTGAACTGCTTTCTTAACCCATTTATTGATCGATACGATCACTTCTTTCTGGAATAAAAAGCGCTTAAGTTTCTAAAGTGAAAAAAGCAATCGGATAAGTAGGTAGGCAAACAGATGAATGGAGGAATAAGCAAATAAAGGCGAGTATTTCTACCATCACGAAAAAAAACGCCTACATCCAGTTCCTAGTCACTTAGTTCTCAATGTGTAGATTGAAATCTACTACAACTTTTCTTTTTGACTTGAGATCGATATTTCTCTTGAAAAAAGTGCAGATACAGGTTTTTTCGAAATTGATCCGAGATCCTTGACTTTGACTAACAAGAAGGAAGTATCTTAAGATTGACTGGGCTCCATGGAAAGCACAAAGAAAGGAGAAAGGAACGAGAAGATTCACAATAGCTGATGACATAAATGTTAGAAAAAATGGACGGACTCCACGGAAAATGACGCGACAAGAACCACGTCGCGGAAGACGACACGTTTCATTGCCCGAAAGATGCAAAAAAGAAGAGAAATGAACTCATGTATGACCTTGACGATCTGCATGACCTTTGTGGGAAATTCTACCGCGACACGACATCAAGCCATCACTTTGATGGAAATTCTAGTGATACACTCGACGATGAAGTTATTTATTACATTGTTTCTTCAAAATATCCATAGAAAATCGATAAAAAAGACATCTGAATTCATTACAACTTCAGCAAAAATGAATGATTCATGACATTTCCATGACTGGTAACAACTGGCAGCCATGGAATTATTGCATTGGACAGTGAAGCTCTGCGGATTTCCCGCCCATTTTTTCACTACACAATTGTCTCGTAGATTTCACTCACTAAGACACAAACCTCTTCCGATAGTCAAATTTGGATCTTTATCCAATTTTAAAGAGTGCACGTGGCGCAGTGGTCGGATGCGCCGTGCAACACACACGTGGAATTGATCCCTGCGCTCATGGCTCACCGAGCCTCCTATCCGTCCGGGGTCAGAAAATTGGTGCCAGGCTTGTTTCGAAGGATAGCAACACTGGTTCGATACACCGGTAGGTCTCCGCGACTCATTGTAAAGGCTAGATATGCTTTTAATCACCTCCAAACGATGCTTAATGAAGTAGAATACATGACGCACCCTCAGGGATTGATCAACGCCGAGAGCTTTATCTTTTTATCCAATCTTTGTCCTTCAAAAGGATTTGTTATGCTGAAGATGTCGCTCATGTTAATCACTGTACCATATACGCTGTTAAGGGTAAGAGCCACCAACGGCGATCTTTTTTGTAATCTAACTCATCGCTGTACTAGATATTTTAAGATTCTGAACATGTATAGCTGCCGTCAAGGAGTATTGAGCTTTGCTTGACAGAAAGAGAAAGCCTTTTCTGAATATTTCTTTTTTTCATTTACTACAGAGAGAGAATGATGTTGGAAGTCGGCATCTCGTAGCACATTAAACTAAGAAAATAGGAAGAATTCACTTTTTCTGCATATGTTTGCCCGTTTGTGTTTCCTCAAGTATTGTCAATGCTAACATATGGCGAGGACGAATGAATGAGACATATAGCGAAGAAAAAGTAGGAAAACAAAGAGAGATGGTGAATAGAGGAGTTATAAAAGCAAAGAAAGGAAATTATGAGTGAAGTAGGTATGAAAGCATAGTGAAGAAAAGAAGGATCCGGAAACGAACATTGGAAGGAAAAGGAAGAGATGGTTAGAGCCAGAAAAAAATTGCAAGAGAACAAACAAAGCGTCAGAGAGAGTTGAGAAATACAGGAAAAAGTGAAGAGGAGATTATGTTGACATATATCATCTGTAATAACTGTAAAGCCATTAATTAGTTAGTCAAGAAGTAACTCGAGTAGGCACCATTTTATCGCCACGCAACAGAGCTGCTCACCAAGCCATCCATCATTGCAGCTTGTGAGGGGACGAGAAGAACATTATATTTGTGGTGTGGGGAATAATTTTTCGGTGAACTTATTCGAAAACAAATTAGTTCCAAGAAGTTTATAAAACTGTGCTATAACATCGCTTTATTCCTGGCCGAAAATATACCAGATAGAAATGTGGAATTATTTATACAAATGCATCTATATAGTTCAAAATTAAGCTTACACATGTGACCATACCAGCCAGGGATACGCTCAGTAGAAGACTTTGTTGATGATCTTACAAATACTAAGAGATGTTAAAAATAAATAAAACACTGGTGTTATTAAGTATTATGTCATTTGACTTGATCATTCCTACTCATCTACTTTGACAACAAGTTGCTTTATTTTTTGTGTTTCATCGCAGAAACATTACTATTTATAGGTGAAACCTTTCTTATTTTTATCCTATTTACTTCGTTTCAATTACTAGCCGAAACGAAGGACCCGCATGGTGCGGTGGTGAACGTGTTAGCCCCTGAAAGGGTGACATGCGTTCGTTCTCCACCGAAGACACCTGCCTTTCGGAATTTTGCAAATATCTCAGCATCATCTTGCTTGTGTTTCAGATGATACGCTGCCGTGAAAATTTATAGTGAGCAGCAAATAAAAAGGTTAAGATTACTATTCTAGTTATATATCACTATTGTGCTATGGTCTTTTCCATAATGGTTTTCGAAAATAGCCCATTAAACTTTGAAAGTGCCCATTCTCGTTAAAATGTTATACAATATTGTTAAGATGTACTTAATCAACAGGAGCATGTAGCGTAGTGGTCAGAGGTGCCCTGAAATACACACATGGGATCGGTCCCCGCGCCCGCGGCTCACCAAGCCTTCCA